ATGTAAGGACCTGAGAGAATTCAGTCTCCCCCCCCCCCATCGGTACCAGGGATTGAACTCACGACTGCCTACTTAAAGCAGGCGCTCATGCCGTGAGAATTCAGTCTTACAACCTTTTGGCTCTGTTATCTCAGAAGGATGTGCTCTCCACAACTTCCTTTGCAGACAAAGAAAAGCTACAACAGCTCTCTACTATTTCTGCACAGAAATGATACATTCACTTCCAGTTTTCTCTTATCCAAAAGTAATTCCATGGCTCCACCTAACTGTAAGTTGAAAAAAAAAAATATCTTGTATGCTCAACAAAGAAAGAAAGCACACATGATGTGCCCTATTAGTATCTGTCATTCTATCATTATTGTTTCCAATGACTTGCTGTCTCAGCAAGGTGAAAGAAAACAATCAAGGTCAAAAGCAAATAATCATAATTTTATTGAATATCAATTGCAAAAAGTAATATTAAAGAAAGAAAATCACTTAAATGCCCAGAAGATATAAAATGAAGGCCCATCAGGTAAGTGGCATGCCTGTTGCTTTTTATTTTATTCAACTCCTTGTAGAATGTTTTCAAGAAATATCAACAAATCCATGCATGCACATTTCTAACCTTTGACCTCTAAACACAGGGTTTATTTTGATACTATGACAATTTACATTGGGATAGGATACTAATAATTGTAGTAAGTTTATTTTGTATAGTACTTTAAAATTTCTAAATCTTTTCATATCTATGATTACTAATTCAAAAATGTAAGATAGGCATATGTGAATTTTTCATGCCCTCCAATTTATGAATATAATATAAATTTTTAGAAAGAACAGAGAAACAACACAAAGCAACCATCTGTCTGTCTATCTAGTTAGGGAATGAAGCCCAGGAGTTGGTATATACTATCACTGAGCTACAGATCTAGTATCCAAACTTTCAATATTTATTTTTGTGTAGATGGATAGCACGAGGATATTTGGCTTTTGCTAAAAAGGATATTTGTCATTACTGAAATTTGGCATTGCTATATGTTCCAGCTTCCCGTAATGAATGTAATTATTTCATTTATTTATCTTTTTATTTATTTTTTTTCTTTTTGAAACAGGGTCTCCACTATGAAGTTCAGGCCAGGCTTGAGCTCATTTAGTAGCCCAGGATGTCTCAAACTTACAACAATTTTCCTGCGCCAGCCTCCCAACTGTTGGGATTACAGGTGTGCACCAAGACACTGCCCACTGAATGAAATTATTATTTACTGCAAATATGTAAGAATAAAAAAAACTTTTTAAATGGAAATTCTTTTTAAGTCTCCATATTGGTGACAGTACTCAATTCTTGAAAAATAATAATTGTACAGATGAATATTCACAAGATATTTCACAACGGATGCTAACCACATGAACGTGATTTAGTAGGTGTGCATTACTGTATCAAAAATCTAAGACAGACGAATTCACATAAATTTTCCATTTGAAAACTGAGAACTTCAAAAGAAAGGAATTTTTCCTTAGTATTGTCCCACTGCAGGGAAATAAGTGGGTTTCCATGAATTTGCTGCATTTCAGTGACACAGTTTCATATGTATGAAATATACACACACTCACAATGTGGGGTTGGGTTTGCACAGTTTTGTTCTTCTTGGATTTAAATAAGCAGCCTTTGATTTTCTTTACTTACTGTATAATAGATGGAACCTCATTTCACCACTACTGTATCAATACTCCTGAGGACTATAAACCAGGATTATTACTAAAACATATGTGGAATTGAGTTTTATTTTAAAAGTACCAAGTAATGAACTCTTACATTAGTTTGGGATCTAAAGATTAGATTGAAATTCAACATGATTTTTGTACACTATGTGACCGTAAAAAAAGGAATGAATTTCTCTTACCCTTAGCCTCATTTCTAAAATGGTACAAAATGCCCTTTCTCACAGAAGGCTGAGATCACGTGGTTAGCACTTAGCCATGCACCTGATACACAGTGAATGCCTGAAAGTCAAATGTCCCTTCAAGTGCACATCATTGTGCATGTGTTATTATTTTGACCTTTTTAAAAGTCCAAACTCCAGGTGCAGAAAGTGAGATTTATGAATTGGAACAAATTGTTGTAATTATGCACACAGATATAAAATTCATTGCATCATGAGCATTAATTTACCTTATATAAGTGCAAAATCCTGCAATAAAGATTTTTAGCAAATAGTTCAGTTTCTGTGTGTGATGTGTTCTTCATTATGGGAACAAATTTTTATTGCAAACAATTCCAGAGTATTATTTTTAGCTTGAGAATTATGTAATTGAATAGCATATATTTAAATTTGTCTCACTTATAAAATTAGTTTGCATAACAACACTTGCATTTTAGTACTAGTCGGACTTGAATTTTACATCTATTTACTTTTCCCTCACTACAGCACAAATTAGTTTTTCCACGTGTCTGAATAATTCAGAATTTTTTCAGGTGATGTTATTGATCACTCTCCAAGCCATTGTTTACTTTGCAAGTCATAACTGGAGAAAAGAAAATTCAGAATCAAAATATTAAGTCTGCTTTTTATAAATTTGGAGGTAAAACCCTAAATAAGTCACCTTGGGAAGTAATTTATTGAGGAATTACCGAACACAAAACAGTGCATTCGGTATGCAGTAGTAAGCAAGGATGATGCACTGCTATTTCATTTAGTACAATTTCAAAGTTGCTGAGGGGAAAAACATGCACACAGAGGAACTTCAGAGTATGTGAGGGTATCAAGTAAGATGCTAACCTTTGTGGTATTAAAAATAAAGACTTCAAGGAAAAATAATTGAATGCAATATTTATAACAATCAAAACAGAAGAAAAAGGGACTTCAATATTGCCTCCAGTAATGGATAGGAAATAGATGTATGAGTAGATATGGAAGATCATTCTCTTCCCAAAGACAGAAGTAGCCATGTTGGAGAAGAACAATCCCCTGGCCTGCTTTGTGATGTGGTTGTTAGTAAAAGAAAGACCCTTTTGGGTTAGCAGGGTAAGTTTCCATTTTATTTTGTGTATCAGATTGCTGGCAGAAGCCCTTAGACAACACAGTGGGATAAGTATAAGAAAAAATTTGGTATAATAATGAATCATTTATTATGACTATTTGAAATGAGACAGATTAGGACATGAGAAAAGTTTCAGAATATTTTGTGCTGATTGAGAACCAGAGGAGGACACTGACACCTTCAAAAAAGGGTCAAAGTTTTGCAGAATGGAGGGAGAGTTAAAGGAGAAAAGACCAGATTGAAATCATGCAACTAAGAAAAGGTTTAGGGTAGAACATCCTTTCATGAATTCTAGTTTTTTAATGATGGAAACAGCCAAGATTTTGCTATCTATAAAAGGAAAGTTTCCCTAAAAATGCTTAAGCACAACTTACTATTTTCAGAATATGCTGAAGGAAATGGGAGAGGGTTAGCATATCTATGCAATCCTCACCAAGCTAATACAAAGTTTCACATGCCCTTAGAAAATATCTGCACAATGAAGGAATAAACTATTCTGCATAATAACAAGTAGCTTGCCCTCACTGGGGAATAGGTAAAGTACTAAAATGTTATTTTAATGCGAGTTTATTTTTCATTTATCTCACAGAGCTCAGAAAGAAAAGACAAAATAGACAAAAAGGTAATCAAAGTGAGATTGCGTATGAGGAATACAATATCTGAGTATACAGTGATCACTGGTGCTTAGAAGAAAAATTGAGTGCCATGTCCTGTAAGAAAGCCATGGTCCAGTGGTTTTTAAGGGTGCTGCGATCTAAAACATAACACTGTTTCTTTTGGATACTGCCATTCTGATGCATTAAGATCAAGTGTTCAGTCCATTTCTTGAACATGACAGTCTACTACCAAAAGTATAGTTTAGTGGGATGTGTGTGGACATAGAAGACTGAGAACAACTTGGAAAGAAAAGTCATGATAAGATATTCATAGTATATTGATTGAGAAACCCAGATGAGCATTGAGGAGTGAGAGACAGTGGACAGCTATAAGGAGATGCTGAGCTCTCACGACTCTCCCACTCTAACCAAGCAGCACTTGCTTATTACTAAAGAGTAGAGATGGACAACATGGTTGTGCAGTGCATCAAGCTGAAATCTATAATCCTCTTGGTTCAATGTAATAGATCACTCAAAAATCAGGAAAGCTGGGACTCCCAGACTACCAAGGACACTGAATCACAAAACTTTTCTGACAATAAACTAAAAGAAGCTTCATAATCTCGAGTAGGTTCAAGAACAAAGTTGGATCTCAAGGGTGAATTTAAACTCCACACTATTTCAATAATATTCTGAGAGAAAAGAAGACTGGGTGTTGTCAAGCATGAATATCAAGCTTTTGTATGGAAAAAGAAACCATGTGACAAAATATCTTTTATTTTGACAGCCATTTAAAAAAAAAAAAAAAAAAAAAAAAAAAAAACAACATCACCATGCAGATAATTTATATCAGGTGAATGCTATACAATTCTTAAGAATTTCTTCATGAAAAATAGCAGTGCCTTCAGCTTCTTTTAGCTTTATAATCTGAAAACTAAAACTTTTGATAATGCTAATTATTTTCTCATTTCCTCCATGGTTTTTATCTTTTTGCATGTAATCTATTTTAAAAGAAAGATATTCACGTCGGTACTTTCTGAATTGTAGGTATATACTACCTTTTTTTCCTAATATATATCTTTAATGATAGGTTTATTTCCTTAAAGCATAAATGTTACTCCTACTTGGAGTTATCCTGACACCTGAAATTAAATCTGTAATATTTGACTTCACATAAACAGATCACCTCATGTGGATTAAGATGAAATTGATCTTCAAATGGTCTTAAAAGAGTCAAATTCAGGAGATGAAAATAAGAGCAGAATTTAGAGAAAAAAAAAGATTAAGCTTGATACAAAAGAAAAACATCCTTTAGATATTAAAGATGAAGGAAATAAAAGTATCAAAAACTAACAGTGATATAAAACCAAAGCAAAAACTCACCAGGTCTTTGAATTCACCAGCTGATCCCGACGACCACGCCTGATAAAATTCACAAAATGACAGAGAAAACAAGATGTTTTAGTTTGTTTTTCAAATACTGAAGAAAATATGTGATATTTCTACAATATCTTGAAAAATATTGCAATGATTTAGAGAATTATTTTTCCACATAAATGTATTTTTCTCTTAAGAAACTTTTAATATTTCAGTATTGTTTTCTATCATAAGGAGGAAAGTAAACACGGTCTAGCTCCATAAAGTATTTTTTCAATTATTCAGGAGACTATAAAATTATGCAGCTAATTCTCTCATTCTCAGAAATAGGAAGATTATTAAATATATTTCAACTTTCCAATGTTTAGTAAATACATTTAAGCTTTGTGGAATAAGCAGACAACTGTTTTCTTTATAAAAACATCTATTTTTCGGATCTTTATTAGCTATCAGATAGTAATTAGTTGTACCTTTGATTCACTTGTGAAAAGTAAATCAATGGAAGATACTATAATGATAAAAATAAAAGGCTTTTATTTTCCAAATTATACGAAAATGCCATCTCTATTTTTAAAAGACGCTTGAAGTACAAATGAAAGGCAATATCCAAACAGCACAAATTCCCATGAGAAGGCTCCGCACCTGCCACGGCGTGCAGAGGTTTTATAAATGTTGTCTTGTGTAAAGGTGATGGCAAACAGTACAAGGCCTTTGGTAAATATGACTGCCTGCCTCAGTGTTTGAGCAGAAATATTGAACTTCCAGCCATTGTTATTATAAAACAAAGGATATTATTTTTTAAACATTTGCCAATAGCCTTTTCTTTTTGCTTTAGGAATCAAGTTTGAAATTACACATTATATGAGTATTAAAACATGTATCTTTTTTGAAATGGAACAATGAATAATAATACTAAATGTGAAAAAGTATTAACACCACTAATCTTATTTGTGTGTGTGAATATGTGGCTTCATCTTTTGTCTGACAGTGTAAATAAGGCTACTTCTGTCCAGGAAGAAGGATCTCTGTAATGTCTGTCATATCACGGATTGCAAATAAATTGCCCAGTTCCTATTAAAGATCCTATTAAAATTCATTTTCTGGGGCCTGCAATTGTTTGCCAGACAAATAGTTCACTGAGGAAGAGCAACTAAGTCCTAAATTTTGTATTATTAAAGATCTCACTGAGTTCTTGTGTTTGGCTTCCAACATGCCAAGTGGATTAACTAGAAATCTGGATACTGAGTTGTGTTTATGACAGCCATAGTGAATCTCTTGTAAATTTTCTTTTGTTTTCATTCTTCAAATTGTTTATTTCTTTGCTCTTCTGTTTTGTTCTTGTTCCTTTTGCTGTCTTCTGGACCAGCTAATGATTATGAACTAAAACCTCCACAAATTGTAAGCTAAATAAATCTTTCCTTCTTTATATTTGCATGTTGAGTATTTGTCGCAGCAACAAGACAAAGTAACCAAACTAATATTAAAGAAAAAAAATTTGGTAGCAATTGTTGCATTGAAACAGGTTTGAGCACAATTCAATTTATCTACATGTCACTTCTATTTACCTTTAAGATGTTTAAAATGAAACATTTTGGGAAAATTATAAAATATTAATCTTCAGTTATAAAGAAATCCTTTATTTACAGTTTTTCAAACATTGTATTGTAGCTGGTTATACAAAAGTTTTATTGAAGATTTTCCACCACCACAGATGTACTCTAACAGTCGTTCTTTGAACCTATCCTTCCTGGAGATCTTCAGTTCCATAGACTCATGCTAGTCATCTACAAGAGGTCACATACTAGAACACCTCCCCTGGATGCTGTTCTGTACAGTTCCTGGATCCTACAGTGGTGGGCAGGCTCTCAGGACATTAATTGATGTGGAAGGTTATACCTTCTCCAATTGAGATATTTATTTTATAAATTTATTTATTCAGACATGTTTGCAGTGTGTGCAGTACAGTCACACTGGGAATGGTTACACATATATATTGCAGCATGTTTCTTTACTTTTTAAACCCCCTTCTCCTCTCCTTTTCTCCCCTCTTCCTCCTGTTCCCTTATCCTATTTTTCATTTTTGTTGGTATTATTTCTGTTAGCTGACATTAATGTATATAATGTTTGTGTTAATTAGGGTTACTAGTTCCTTTACATAGCATAACTTTATTCTTATTCTATCTCTGCTTTCCCCATATCCCTCCATTTTGCTCCCTTGGACCACTTACCTTTGCAAGAGAGCCATTTCCTTGAGCCTTTCTATCAATCTTTTATTTTTTTGTTCTGTGTAGTTTACGTCACTCAAAGGAAAGACACCATACAGCATTTGAGTTTGTGTGTCTGATGTATTTCAGTCAATATATTTTCCATGTGCATACATTTTTCTACAAATGTCTCACATTTGTCATTCTTTATAGCAAAGTAGTATTCCATTATATGTAGATACTATGTTTTATTTATCCAATTATCTGTTGAAGGGTTATACCAACTTCCAGGATTTAGTTATTATGAGTTGGGCTGCTATAATCACTGGTATGCATGTATCACTGTAGCATGATAACTTAATCTCATTAGGAAAGACACTCAGCAGGGCAATCACTGGGTCAAATGGAATTTCTAATTTAATTTTGAAGAAAAATCTCCATTCTGATTTCCATAATGCTTGTACTAGTTTATATTCTCACCAACAATGAAAGATGGTTCCATTTTTATCACAGCCACATGAGTATTTATTATTTTTATATTTCTTAATGTTTGTCATTCGTTCTGGAATAAGATGAAATATTGGCATTGCTTTAATTTGCATTTATTTAACTGTCAGATACGTTAAATATTTTTTCATATATTTGTTAGTCATTGTTTCTTTTTCTCAGCGAACTATCTATTCATTTCTCTTGTCGTCTTCCTGAATTTTAAATTTTCGGCGATTTAAATTTGTTTTTATCTCTTTGTATACTCTAGAATACTTTGTATACTCTGTATACTAATCTCCTGCTGAGGAGTAGGTGGCAAATTTTTTTCCCATTCTGTGCATTGTCTCTTTACTCCAGTGATTGATTCTTTTGCTGTATAGAAGGTTTTTAGTCTGATATAATCTATTTGCTGCTTCTCCCAGTTATTAGTTTCATAGCTGTGGTTCTCTTTAGAAAATCTCCCTAGTATTTTACCTATTTTACCTTTCAGTAGGTTAATGTTTATCTTTTATTGTTTAGATCTTTGATCAGAAATAAGGGTCCAATTTCAGTCTTCTCCTAGAAGATAACCGGTTTTCCCAATACACTTGTTGAATAGACTGTCTTTCCTACAACATATGCTGTTAGTCTTCTTTTAAAAGATCAAATGGTAACACATATCTGGGAAGGTTCTGTATCCACAATTCTGTTCCATTAACCCATATATCTGTTTCTGTTCCAGCAGCCTGACATTTTTGTCATTATTGCTCTTTGAAGTACAATTTGAAGTCAAGTATTACTATTCCACTAGCTTTGTTTCTATTGTCCAAAACTACTTTTGCTATTCTGGTTCCCTTCTGGCTCCATATGAATTTTAGGATCAATTTTTCTAGATATGTAGAGTATGCTATAGGTATATAGATTGCAACTGCATTTAATATGCATAGCAGTTTTGGGAGTATGGCCAATTTGATAATGTTTTTTCTGCTTCTCCTGGAGCAGAAGACGCCTTTCCATTCCCAGATGTTCTCTTCAATCTTCTTCTTCAGGGCCAGAGTGAGCTCAGAGGCATAAGTGCCTGCATGGCAAGCATGCGGTTAAGAATTCGGTCCCTTTACCAAAACAATCTTCTTCAGAGTACTGTAGTTTTCTTTGTAGATGTCTTTCACTTTCTTGGTTAGGTTACTTTCTATATGCTTCATTTCTGTTGATTAAATTTATTTTTTCTTACATATATATTTAAACTATAGGTTTTACTTAAATATAAATTTTAGGGTGGTATGTAGCATATTAATTTGTGCCTATTGTTAAATATTTTCCAGGGTTTTGTTCTTACTCTTTATTTCAATACATGTAATTTCAATATACTAAACACTATGCAGTGTATTAAATCTATTAGATAATATATAAATATTTAATAAATATATATTTGTTTCTCTAGAAAGTTATTTCAGCTCAATTTCTGCATAAAACACTTACTTTTTCTGATGCCAATCTAAAATCTGTTGAATTTAACTTAATGATTTAGTTCCTACTCTTTTAGAATTATTTATGCACATTTTAAAAAATATGAATACTCTTTAATTATGTGTATGTATCATATATATATATATATTAAATACAGTAATCTTTTTTTTCAGATACATGTTGTTATACGCCATCATGATTGTATAATTTTCTTTTTCTTTTTTCCTTTACCTCTATCAAGCTTTATGACTTCTGTATGATAAGCTATGCTAAAATATATCCACACATTTGGAAATTTTACATCCTCTTGTTCAATAGAAACTATTATTTTACAAAGTGGTCACATATTACCTCGAAGACTACCCTTGTTTCTAGGCTGATTTTGTGTGGAATGACTGCAACTATTCCAAAGTTTCATTGATTTTTCTCAATACAAGAACAAGTAATTTTAGAAGAAAGAATTACATGCAACTTATAAATAGAAGTTATCAGTTTGTCTCAAGCAATATTCAAAAAATGTTTTAACTAGGTGAAACTGTTTTAACTAGATCCTAAATAGTGAAAATAACCTATGCAACATCATAGGTATAAGAATATATTTTGTATAATGAGATCTAAAGTTTATGATGGAAAAATATGACCACATCTGAAGATAAAATTGAAATTTAAAAACCATGGCAATAAGAATACTAATAGAAATCTGAGGATATGGCAGAGAAATTTTGAACAACTGAGTAGTACTCCCTTCACTAAAATTTCTCATCCTTATGAGATGGTAGAGGACTTTAGAATATTCTACTTTTTCTCAGTAGATGGTTCAACTGATACATCCATCTGCAATTGAGTAGAAACTTATAAACTGGAGGTGCAGATACAGGGTTTGCACTGTTTTAGTAACAAGTGAAA